CAAATATATTACTATTTTTAATTCGGATGATACAGACTTGCTGCATCTTTTGGGTCTCCTTCACATGATAAACAGCTTTTTTAAAAAGAGACATCCAAAGGGGTAAAAGAAAGCAAAGAGCGAACCACAGTTTTACTAAGATCTATTGCTTAGCAACGGATTCGGAAACCCTCTGCGCTTTTGCGCATGAGCCGTTCCCCCTATTTTTTTTTCCATCAAAATAGGGGGAAAGTGAAGAATGGAAGGGTGATGTTTACATTTTACTGAGCGTGATCTGACAAAGAACTCCGGAAATGCGCTCATATGACCCATTGCATGACACCCTTTTCCGGTGAAAAATCGTCCAAAAGTGGTAGTCTCGGAATCCGTTGCTCAACAGTAACTAGGATGGTTCAGAAAATCAAGCTCCTACTATTATTGGAAAAGTTTAAAAAAAAACACGTATTTTCCCGTAATAATCGAATCTTAGATTTGACAGTGCTGATAAATAATTTCCGATGCCATAATCTGATGGATGAAAAAATGCTGATTGCATCAGATATCTGGGTAAAAATAGATAATTCTACGATGGGGATTTATAGTTTACTTCTATTTGATGTGATAACCCTGTTGATTTTCTCCAGCTTCTTATGAATCAAATAAGAAGGTTTAGCTATCTCTTTAACTTTGGAGGGAAAATGTGTTATTCAATAGATAAGAAACGTTCCTTAGATGGCAGAAACGCAATTATTAATGACAACTGCACTGTGTTGTTTCTGTGGAAAAGTCTCTATTTCGCACAAGATTATCAGGAGAATTCTTAACTTATTTAGACTTAAAATATGTAATAATTGACAATGCATACTTATCTACCCTCCAAATGATGACATCTAGGATGGGATTGAACGTCTTTATTTCCTTGTCGACCTGGAGATCATGTTGTATACATGATAGCAGCAGATAATGGTACATTATTCATTCCTAAATATACCTATTACTATAATGTGCCTCTCGTCGGCATTCAACCAAGTGCACATGAGTTTCTTTCTTCAGCTCCACAAGAATGTGTCCTAAAAAATGTGTGACACCTCACAGTGGGAGCGTCGCTGGTAGAACTGACTTTCTCTCGCCAACAGCAAGAAGTCAACTTGCAAGAAAAGGTTAAAGGTCGAAGGACGGTCCTCCCCCGTCCGGCCAGGCCCTCACAGGGTTCAACGGACCGACCTCTCTTACTTTTGTGGGAAGTTCGTAACAGTTTCTGTAATAAATACATTAAAAGCAACAGAAATATACTCTTCGTCTGAAAAATATAACCATTGTTCTCCAGCCTATCAGCCACAGCATTATTCAGAATGGAAGAACAAATTATCAGCAATATCTGAAAAGACACATTATAAAAGTCTCCTATATAAAATGCAGGGTAACAATTTTTGTTTCTCTTTTTTGCTTTCAACTAAGCTGGAGCAAAATTTCAGCTACTCTGATTTACACTGATGGCAGCAAGAATGAAATTGGACATACAGGTAGTGGGGTTTTTGTTGAGCACGGTCGGGGGAAGCTTCTCTTAAACGAAGAAATGCTGACTACTGCTCAGTTTTCCGCTCCGAAATGATCGCCATTGATATGGCTTTAGACTTTGTTCTGGAACATCAATTATTCGGTGAGATATGGATTCTCTCGGACAGCCGAAGCGTTGTCCAATATCTTGATAATTGGAGAGATGTTAGTGACAGGAGGGGAATCGATATCTTTAACAAACTCAGGACCCTGTGCAATTCTTGTGTCCTTCATCGACAATGGATACCATCACATGTAAATTTAAAATATAACGATATTGCTGATGGTCTTGCTAAAGAAGGTACTACCATGCCTCAGGCCTATGTAGAACCCTTGACCTACCTTGAGTTATACTCAAGAAGAAAGGCCCTCGTTAACATTTTTTGGAGGCATCCACCAGCTCATTCATGGTATCGTAGTGAAGGCCCGGGTGCTGCTATATGTTTTAAGGGGGATAGGGAAGACCAAACGGCTTTGGCTCGCTTATCATCCGGTCACTTAAAAACCCTCAGAATCTCTCGTGGTGATAAGAAGTTCAATATCTGCACAAGGTGCAACATTACTGTGTTGCCTTGGTGTATGATGACCTGCTTAAGCGACCGGGTTTCGTGTTGGAGGTGATGAAGGCGAACGATCTCATGGATCTGATCTGATTCAGATCAGAAGAATTAGAAAGAAGAAGAGAAGAAGAAGAAAATTTCAGGGCAGAATAGAGTACTTTCTGCATTTATGAATTTCTGACTGCTCAAGTGAAAACAGCATGCAAGCAAAGTGAATCTGAAGACCAACAGCTGAGAACTGATACGAATGAAAAGTCATATGTAGAATATGGTTGAGAGGTTATTGTTAGTGGTAAAATATGCGCAATTTATTAAAAATGAAGACCAAGGGTTTTGAATATAATAAATGGATTAAAAGCAACAAAAATAATATACTGTCCGTCTTGAAAACATAACTATTGCTCTCCATCCTCTCCACAAAACTCAGCCTCAAAACTACCAACAACAAAAACATGATATTGAAAATTGAGAGGGAAGCGAAGACATACATTAAGAAATAAAATACGAATAATACCTTTTCATGTTATAAAATTTGATACCTATTTTCAGAAAAAAAAAATCTTTACACAGAGATTTCTTAAGCAGCATACATCTTGAACTACTGTTTCGAATTCTTAAACTTTGAATGATATTGATTTCCATTACATTTCAGAAGAATATTCTTAGGATTTTTCAAGTTTTAAAATTTGCTTGCAGATCGTCTCGGTGCAGTTGGTTTTGAAATTGGCAAACTGATTCAAAAGTCCTGGAAAATTGTGTGTTTGGTATTTAGATTGCGTAAAAAAAATTTTGTAATATTTTTTAACAATTTTTAAAAAATTACTGTTAAATTTAAATTTTACATTTTCTTTTTATTTGCCAGACACTGAAAATAATTCTCCTGAATGTAGCTCGCAATTAAATACTTCGTTATTTGTTACTTAAAAACTACTTGTACAGAGATTAAATGGAAATAAATAAAAAAATATTCGATTTTGGAAGTTGGGTAGAGAAAGGAGGGCACCGATTCTTGTGTTGTCTATAAGCCCCACAGGCCCAAATTAAACACGATACAGTTAGCGTTTCCCTCAGCTAATGAGTCACGATTTTCGCAATGTTTTCTAAGCCGCCCTCTCGTGCTTTCCTCCTACGGTCAGAGAGTCTCCTCGGACCCGTGAAAAATGCGTCTGCACACTTCCCTTGATCGGTGGCGTTTCGTAATCGGTCTCATCCAATCTGTCACTAAAAACTCTTACGGCTATTTTTTCTCCTCTCTCGTTATTGATAGCGGCGCAAGAGCAAAAGCGGAAGAGACTTTGGGCGTCTCAGTAATACCGCCCATGAATCAAAACTTTTATTTACACAGCTTCCAGGCTACCGAGTTATGTGTAATCTCTTCCAGTCCCCGGCCCGTCAGTCGGGCCTTCGATTTATAAACTAATCACAGCGATTAGCTGCAGCAGCACTTATTCGAGAGAGTTTATTTTCCCGAATTCTGGAAACTTTGTCGCAATAGTTGGGTACTTCAATCTTCAGATATCTCTTAGGTTTACAGAAATTTAGCTCTTTGGTTATATAATGATTCAAAAATATGAAAAGTTAAAAACCAATCGGGTGTGACTGACCGAAATCCTGTCTGACCGGTTGTCTCAATGCGTCACGTGACGAAAAACTTTTGGCGAGTGGCATGGCCGTTTCTATCAATCCTTTAGGACCTGCTGGTGGTAACCGCCACTTCTACATTTACAAAATAATACCTCCAGCGACTATGAAGAAATAGCGATAACAATACATCTTTTTGCGCGCCCAACGCAGCAGCATCCAGTGATTGCGTCAACAAAATTGTCCTATAATTAGCCAACAAATCACTATAGAATTAAACAACAAAAAATTCTCTAATAATTAAAATAATTAAAACACATAAAAGAAGACAATTAGAAAATAATAGAAAATACAATCAAAATAGAAGAGAACTCGAATGGCGAACTTTTTCAAAGACCACTCACCACCGGAGTTCTAATATGGATAAATTTTCTGTCAAGGGTAAGACTACATAGTCAAAATTATACCCCCTGTGGCCTGAATTTATCCATTAACTGAAATGTAGGAAATAACCCCTTTGGAAAAAGAAAAAAACATTATAAAGTCCTTTATAACAAATCCAATAGATACAAGAGAACGTAAAATATTTACCCTCTGGCGAAATAGAAGCAAGAAATGACGCCAACGAGAAACATGCGAGAACAAAGTAAGAATAGTTCTGGAGGCTAGCATACCTAGCTCCATCTATGTATGTTTGTTGAGAGAAGTGATATTTATATATTGTTATTTCTCAAACAACCTGGCATCTTAGAGTTGCCTTAGTGTTGTATTTTGGAGTATTTCCGGTTTTGAAACGCGGATTAGCGTTGCCACTCCCAAATTGGAACTACGTAAGTGATTATAGATAGTATGATGGATTTGTAGATAAGGATTTTATTGCTGGTTGTTAATGCGGCATTTCCATCAAGTAGAGGTAGAGCGTACTTTTGCTGCATCGATGTTGCTTTTTGTATGTTCAAAATGAGTTGCATGTATTGCCTTATGTCAACGTTTATTTCTGGATTTTATTGCTGGCTGTTAATTCGGCATTTTCACCTAAGTAGGGGGTAGAGCGTGCTCTTGCTTCATCGATGTTGCTTTTTATTATGGCCTTAGGTCAAGGTTTATTTCTGGATTTTTGGTTTCGCTTTCACATCTTTGGAGGAACCCCGTCTAAATTTTGCAGTTGGAGAAACATTTCGCTCTCCGAGAAAGATAAGTTTTCTCAGATCGTGACAGATTTCGGGCCAGAAGAGAGCTCAGATTGTGCTGGGGAATGTCTTTGGACTTTAGAAAAGGAGCGATTGAACATAAATATTTTAAAACCAGAATTGATTAATTTGCTGCTGTTTGAATCTAGTGGTTAGGATTCCTGGCTTTCACCCAGGCTGCCTGGGTTCGATTCCCTGCATGGTAAGAATTTTTTCTCTTTGGGTGAGTCGGTCGGCGTGGGTCATGCATGTACGTAAGGATATGCGGTCATCTACATAAACGAGGATATTATTTGAATTGCTATTTCTTGCTTCATATTGCTCGTGACAAATGGAATGCTTCACTTTCCATGAGAATTTAAAATTTTTAAAGGCTCACTTCTCATGACCTCGTTGTAGGAATAAAGAAAACGGAACTGAGATTGTTGTAGACTCTGCAAATGAAACAGAATATTCGCTACTTTCGACAGTTCAGTAAAAGTAATTAGCTTTTAAACATAAAAGCGCCTGTTTTCAACTCCATATGAAATATAAAAGTTCCACCATTCAAATCCTCAGCATATTTTCTAATACGTATAAACATCACATGTTTGTACAGCCTTTTTTAGTGATGTATTCTATTCTTACACTTAGGGTCTATTCTGGTACCCCCGGTTGGGTTGGGTTCCGTTGTTAACGTGCGGGCCGCGAGGCCCTTTGATCGCTTTCGCCACTTGTAAGGATTTGAATCATTTACCATTGTGCCACCGAGGCGTCTATGAGTTTGAACCCATTATTTGTAAATGGTTTTTGTGGCAACTTGTTGAAATTCCATACTATTTAAGGTTTTTTCCGATAATAAAATTTCTGTAGATGCATTGATGGCGTTGGTAATTGTTGTGTTTTTGCAGTCCTTATTTAGTTGGTATACTCGATTGGCGAATTAGGTCCTTTTAGAGTAAAAGGAAACATAACGCGGGGTTAAGGAAGCCTGACTCCACTGAACTTAGTTCACAGCAAACAGCATTAGAAAATTTATTTTTGAGGAATACAGTTGTTTTCGTAATTGAATGGCAGGTCATCCCAACAGTTTCCTCCAAAGGCAGAGAACATTTTTTTTGACTCCAGCGTTATATTTTGATGGCAGAGGTCTTTCCCGTCTGCAGGCTTTCGGATCAGAAGACAAGCCTGGCATTGAGGACAGCAGGAAGCAGCACTTCATAATCATCCCCTTCACCCTATCCCGGTTTTCTATCTATACACCGGTTTCAGGCCAGAACTCCCGAGAAATGTGCAAGCGAGGTGCTTTCCTCCCGCTGTCATCGCAAGACTTCAGGTAGATACCCGATGAGATGTCCGAAGAGTCACGTGGATGGCTTTGATGAATGGCGGGGAAGAACAACTCACTGTTGGGCACCTCATTAGAATGAGATCTCACAAGGCGGCCATTTACGAGACAAGCCAAGAAAGGGGGAGGGATGCCGTTCCCTCGGAGACGAGCGGCACAGGGACGCGTTTTGTTCTATTTTTTGGTGTGTGCGGCGGTCTCTTTTGAGACGTTTAGACTGTGGCTGTGGGGATGCAAGAACGCTTCTATGGTGAGGGCATGTTCACGCTCCAGAAGTTTGCTGGTTGGATAAAATTCGCGGAGCAACTCGTCGCGTGTCTTCGGATAATCTATTCTGGAGGGCTGTGGAAATCTGCGAACATGCTTTGATTTTGATGGCACTTTTTTCCCCCTCTCATTGTTGCAAATAAATTTAAGACACGCGTCTGTTTCGACGCACTTGGCACTTGGTTAAAGATAAAAATTCGCGGAGCATTTCGAGTGAAGGCTTGATGCGAGGGTTCATCAAGTCATTAATTTTCTTCAGGAGAGGCAATTAGTGCACAGGAACGTGATGGATTCTCGGTTTGATGCTATTTCAGGTTGACTCGCTGTTTTAAAGAGGTTTCCAAAGAATTTGTGCTCCGAGATAATTAAACGGGGGAAAAAAGTTCAGATTGCAATGTGGTCTGAAATAAATAGTCTTTGTTGGGTCTTCCTAACTTGCAGCAAGAAATGAAATTAGATGAATATTTGTCTCCCAGTAATAAAAAAATTACTTATGTGTCAGTTGGAAAAGTTCCCTGCATTACATGAAGCAATTTTGTAGAAAGTTTTCATTTTTCATTACAGGCATAAAAATGGTAATTTAAGATTTCTTTTGTTGAAGTCTTACATAATACCTTTTCCCCATTTTCAGCAAACTACAACTTTTCAATCGTTAATCGAAATATAGTCTAAAATTGACAGTTTTTCCTCAATTGTATTTCAGGAGGGGTTTGGGTTTGATATCTAAGAATCCGAACCCACCGGGGGGGGGGGGCCCCCGCGAGTTCACGGATGAGAAGCCTATGGATAAGTAAGCAGGTTCTCGCTTCCCTGGTGGGTACAGCAGTGGTGGTGTGGCTCTTACGGCCCATCTCCGATGACGGGTCGTATCCCGGTAAAACGGGGGGTCGTCGCATGAGCCGCTCTTAATGGGGATTATTATGCGGGGGCCACAGTGCGCGATGAAGTCGTGGCGGCCGGTCATTCACGTAGACCCGGATGTTAAGGCAGGGAGGGGGTGATGGTTTGTTTGTGATCTAAGAATCCGAACTAAGTCAATACCGGGTACAGCATGCCTATATTAACTACAAACTTACCTAGAAATAAAGGAAGAAAAATAATTAAAAAAAAGATTTTAGTAGTCGCTAACTAAAATTTACATACTCCCCTTAAACTTAATTTCTTTTATTTATAATTTATTTTTTATTTATATTATGTTTCCAATTTAATTTTTGTTTAATATTTTCAGAATTTATTTTGGATTTGTTGCTACAGTACTTTAGAAGGAATAAAAAAACGAACACATAGAATAATATTAAATAAAGAATAAAATAAATGGAGAGATTTAAGAGGAATTTAATTCTACAATTCTAATTAAAGCTCTATCAATTTTTTTTAGAATAAAATAGGCAATATTGCGTAGTTGTTTAATGCCCTTTATTTGACCTTCACACCTATATATCTTTCAGCAGGAAAAGAGGTATTGTGGAAATGAACTGGAAACAAGGAAAAGAGACTTTCTAGATTGAACATCAATTAGTATTTCTATGGGGAAAAAAGTTCTAGATTGTTTCTTAGGTTTAAAATGTTTCTTAAAACACACATTTGTTATTTTAAGTTAAGAACTGGCATAAATTCTTTGTGAAGTAGAGCGACGCAGGACCGTAAGGAACGAGAACCGTTTATGAAAAGTGCCATTCATAACCGAAACAAAGAGCTTACTAGCCCTAAACCACCAAAAAAATAATTGAATTTCCTTGGAAAAGACATAATAGTTTCTTTTATATTTATTAGCCGTAATACAAATTGCCAAGACTTCATTTATAACTTAATCTTAGAAGAAGTAAATCTGCTCGATTTTCATTGCCTCAGTTTGTTGAATTTCTATAATTTTTCTCGATGATCATTCATTCCCCAAAAGATATAATTTTAAACTTTATTATGCTTCAAGAGTCCATTCTCCAAAAGCAGTGGCGAATCCAGGATTTGGGTCTGGGGGCTGCTGAGGTCATACAAAATTTTGTTTCGTCCTGACGAATGTCAAACCTCATGGAAAAGTATTTTAAATTCACAGAATTTACTCACCTGACAATAAAAATCACAAAGAACACTACAGAACTTTCGATAATTTAATAAAAACACAATGAAATAACTAGCAAAAAAATGTTTTCGACCGTGTCAACGCTACAAATACGAAGGGAAAGTCCACAGAAGTTGGAAAATTTTCGAGCTTGTCAAGCCAAGAAGCAATGTTGTCACTGTTTTTACTTTGTCGTATACGAAGTGTACAAATAGAAAGTATTGTAATCGTCAAAAAATTCGAACTCGAGATTTTGACGAATCTCCACGTTTTGGACCTTCCTGAGTCCGAAAAACACAATTTGGGAACTATGTCTGTCTGTGAACTCGAAAACTCCAAAACTATTAGAGATGCAGGGATGAAATTTGGTATGTGAACTTGACACATAATTTGTATGTTTCTATCAAATTTTGGACAAAATCCGTCCAAGGGAAGTCTGTCTGTCTACTGGAATAGCTAGATGTATAAAATTTGGTACACAGTTTTATCATCACGAATATAGGTCCGTATCAAATTTTGAAACAAATCCGTCGATGGGTTGATTGTCTGTATACTCGCATATTTTTAATCGCAATAACTTCTTAACAAAATTACTTAGGTAAATGAAATTTGGTATGTGGCCTTTTTACCTTAATTGTAGATGTGTGTCCAATTTTTGTCTCAATCGGTTAAAAAAAGGCGTTCAAATTGCATAATTAATTTTTCTAATCCGATTCTCCACGGCATGCGTGCTGGTAGCAATATCTGTGGACGCGGAAGCTATTGAGCGAATTACTTCACTTTGCCCTTGAGCCAGCAAGAGTGGGACTTAGCAGTGTGTGATAGATGCGTTTTAATCGGTACGCATCTCTTTGAATTTGATTCTTTACCTAAATATTTTACGATCACTATAATCTACAATGAAAAACCTTCTGATAGTCATTGGATTCTGGATAACAGTAGGTTCGAATTTTTTTAGCCACGCGGGGGAAGGAGAAACGGCACCTTTTGGGGGAAGTATACGAGAAAGTTTAGGGGAGAACACTCCCGCTGGTTGTTAAAGGGAGATTAAGAACAAACAACTGTAGTGATTTTAAATAAAATCAAGAATTCTGGTGTAGCTCTGGGGGGGGGGGG